TTCCGATCTCATGGATTTCAACTCAATAGAGTTCATCCTCAGGCTGTGTTTGGCTAATGAATTTGAAAATGAAAATAAAAAATGTGTGAAATGTAACTATATTTCATTCACATTTCATCCATTGAATATAACTGGTTTCTGAAACAATTGCTGGCCTCCCACCCTTCTACGGCCTTCCTGGTGATGAAACTGAGGTACTTGCCAAAAATGAACGAAAACCGATGCAAAACGAATGCTCGGGGGCCAGAACGCGCAGTTTGGGGCCCCGAAAACTGCCTGTTAAGCACCGAAAGTGGCATTCGACCACGAAGTAGGTCTCTCAGACCTCAGTGTCCCTCAAAAGGGAGTAAACAGGATGTATGCCAAAAATCAGAGCAAACAGAGATGGTTAGGCGGTCGCGAACCGAGGCACACGGCCAACAGTCCCGAAAAATCGGATACCGGGCTCTGAAATGGGCAAAATGGCCTACGGCCACAAAATGTAGCCCACGGCCATTGAGAGATGGTCTACGGGACCTCTCCCTCCCCTTAAGAAAAAAAAAAAAAGAAAATCGAGTTTGGTTCGCAAACCGAGGCAAGGCACAAAAGAAGGTTCAGAAGTCTGGAGGCAGGGCTCACGGCCGCAACTCTGAAACTTCTGAGCGAGCACATAATGCAACCTCACCAAGCGCTCAATTGGTGACGTCTGAGTCTTAAGGTCGGTCAAAAATGGGGTGTCTACATCACTATAAAAAATTAAAGTTTTAAAGACTAAAATTTAAGGATAAAATTATTTTTTAAGGACTAAATATTTTTGTTGCGAAAAGTGTTATTATATTTTTAGCAATAAAAAATAAACATTAGTGATGAATTACTATCCTTTTGGGACCAAATTTTTTGTCTCAAAAAATAAATCATTTTGAGACCAAATTATTTTATCCCTAAAAGTCTATTTATTAGTGACATTTTCAAAATTTTGTCATTAATAGTCTTATTTTTTACCTTTTGGGACGACTTTTTAGCGATCCTCACGACGATAGAAATTGGTCCTAAATATTTTTTACAACAAAATTTTCACTTTTAGAGATTAAAAAATTTGATCTCTAAAACTCTTTTATGTTGTAATGGGTGTTTTGATCTAAGATTTCAATTCTTTCATTTTTCGTACTTGTTGGAAAATTTAAATTATAATTTACTCTAATGGTTGAATCTCTTGAGATGAAAGGATGTGTCATTTTGAAAGGTCACAACCTTTCCAAAGAGTCATAGAGAAATTTATATATTCTATCCCCCTCACTTCAATTTGATATAGAGAATGGCAATTTTCTTCTTCACCTTACATTTATTCTTCATATTTTTTTAGTCTAATTTTTCTATAAAGAGAGTACACGGACAGCGAAGTTCACCAGACTTGCAATCACTACAAGAAATTACATTTTTTTGCAACGCAACAAAATATGTTGCTAAGAGAAAAAATTCATCGGCAAAGAGTTTTGCCAACACACAAAGCTACGTTGACAACCCGTAGGCAAAAGTGAGTCGACAAAAGTTTTTGCAGACGAAATTATCATTGCGTTGGTAAAAGTAATGCCTTTAGCAACGAACATAGTCGTCGTTAAAAGCCTTCATCCATCGTCGGCAATTTACCTTGCGTCGGTAAAAGTTATTCAAATATGATGATTGTGTGACACTTTTCGCGACACAAATTTGCATGGGCAAAAAATATACTTTTAGCAACAAAATATGCGTTGGCAAAAGTAAACTTTTGGCTATACATTTACGTCGGTAAATGTTGCCATTTGCCTACGATTTGTTTGTCGATAAAGCTTCATTTTTGGCAATGACAAATTAGCATTGGCAAAAAGTACACTTTTAGCAACACAATATGAGTGGGCAAAAGTAAACTTTTGGCAACACAATTACATCGGTAAATATTGCCATTTGCCGACGATTTGTTAGTCGATAAAGATTTACTTTTGGCAACGACAAATTGGCATTGGCTAAAAATACACTGCTAGCAACACAATATGAGTGGGCAAAAATAAACTTTTAGCGACACATTTACCAATAAAAATAATTGAAAATAATTTATATATTTTTATAAGTTTTACAGATTTACAAGAGGCGTCCCTCAGGCACCACTATTACAAACTAATAATATTGATATGAAATCACCTAAAGTTGATGTGCAAGCCAAAAAAACACTACTGATACTGCTTTTAGAAGCAGTGTATAAAACCTAAAAGGGTAAACTCACTAAAATACCCATATACATCCAAATTGTGAACCCACATTACAAACAACAGATAACAAAATAAAAACATGAAAATAACAAAGACGGGCAAACTATCCACAAACTTATCCAACAGACCAACATCTAGTAGCAGCCGCCTCACAGCAATATTGCAGCAGCAGCAGCCCAGCAAGCATCAACCACAAGGGCGGCAGCAGCAACAAACCAGCAGCTACAGCAGATGAATCTGATTCATGCATCTCAGATGAATCTGGTGCATCTGCAACCTCCAGGCCAGCTGCATTATTTGACATTCCTGGGGGCATTTCAGAAGAGATGACCAACATGCAAAGGCATTTTAATAGGAGCTACTGAAGCCAAGTTCTTTGCTAATCCTTGCATGATAATTAGAAGAAAAAAAAAGAATGTAAAATACCTACTTTGGAGGAGAACATCCTTTCTTCTCTACATGATACAAGTGCATTAGCCTCTTGTACATATGAAAATATTGTCAACTTCTGAATATTGACTCCGTTTGGTAGATTTTTGGAGCT